GCTCCACAGTAGCGTGGAGACCCAGTGCCAGAGAGGGCACAGCGTTTTGGGGTGTATCGACCCCGGCCCCAGTGCAGGCAAGAGCACAGAGAAAGGCCCCAGTGTGGGCGTAAGACCCAAGAAGGGGGTCTGGGGCCAGGCACGGCTATGGCCACCTGAGCCTCGATTGTGGGATTGTGAGAAGCCCCAGTGCAGGCAGGGATCACGAGGCTAGGCCCCAGTGTGGGCGTGGGTGCAGAGAAGGGCCCCGGTGTGGGCCACGAGTATAAGACAAGCCCGGAGGGCATCCGTGAGGGCACGGGCAACAGTAATTGACTAGACAACATCCAGTACATCTGAGAGGCTTGGGGTGTGGTATCAGGGGTGGTAGGAGCCACACACAGCCCTTAAGGCATTAGTGCACAGAGTCACCATAGACGGGGCACAGACTTGGATACATCAGGGGTACCGTGTCAAGGAGGACAAAAAGGCAGCCTCCCTTAATACTTTTGACATCAAAGACGTGGTGGGTGAGAACAAGGGTGCATAGACACCAACTTGGCATGGTAGGGGGCGCTAGGAGAGATCACGGCCGCTCTTAGGACCCTGCCCAGTGACAGAGTTCATATATGAGATCTTCAGAGCTGGCTAGGGTGTTTAGCCACTTCACTCTTCTTGAAATGACTGAGGGTTGTGTGGCCAAATCTCCTATTTGGCTTGGAGACCTCAGTTATAGTTTATCCCTTAATTTAAACAAGGAACAGCTGCAAAGTTCAGATCCCAACTTGAACTCGCCCAGAGGACACACAGTTAAATCCTAAACTGTGTAAATCATTATACCTCCATTACTGTCCAGAAAACATTCCTTATTATCTCCCTTTCCAGCGTCTTTCTACCATCTCAGTGGCTCAGGGCGCATAATGTAGTAATCCCTTACAGGTACATTTTTGTGAGAATTTCCAGTCAAACTAAACCAGCAGTTTGAATGAGTTCACAGGCTTTTCATTGAACTGTGTCCATTTCTGGCTTCTGATTTTGGTGAAACATATTTTGAGACTCAGAGGTGATTCTGGGGTTCACTTTGAATCTAGAGAAGGATGAACTTGTCCTAGCCATGTGGCCAACAGCTTGCCAGCATGCTCCTACTAGTCCTGTTATGTACAGGTTGATGGGGAGGCAGCTCCAAGATAAAAGGAAAACAGGGCCTTACATCTGGGCTATTCCAAAATCAAAGTATCCTGATATTTTTTTCTTAGTAAGCATTTCTCCTCAGCTCTAAGCCTACATCCCTTCAGGTATTAACTTAATGAGTAATATGAAGTGTGTCTTGTCATTTTCATTTTCGTCCAAATTCAGAAGTATGTATACATAGTTCTCTGATTTGCTACTTATTAAAAGCAAGTGTTGCTAACTCCTACAAAGTTATTGTAAATCGCAGAACTTTTCTTAAAGCTCTATGTCCTGAAATAGTATGAGATCAGAATCTCGGCTTTCATTAAAAAAGAATTACATTTTTAACTTGCATGATGTCTGGGATGATAAAACCTTACAGGTGCTGACACCAGGTGTCCAAATAAAGAGCTCCAAATGTATTATATTTATACGCTCATCCTTTGTAAATTAATTTCAAGATTTTTGAATGCCTGGTATTGACAATACTGAAAACCTTGTGTTATCCTTGGAATCATTCATAGTTCTTGAATTACAATGGTTTGTGCCATGAGTCTGTGTTGTGTATGTAAGAATTGAAGCTGATGGAATAAGGTATCTACAATATGATGTGCTCTTCCTTCCCTGGCTGAATTAAGTTAGGGCATTAGTTCTCAACCTTTTAGCTAGGATCAAGGTACCCTCAATAGTATCAAGGCAACCTCTGGAAAATGGCACCCCTCTGTTTTTGCTCCCTTTTTAACTACATAAAAATAATAGAGCAATTCTTGTTGCATATAACTCAGAAAGACCCCAACAGGTCAGAAACTTTGACTGTCTAGACAATGTGCTTGGGGGTGGGGGGGCATTTTAATTACAGCAGTTCCTGGAGAGCTGCTCTAATTAAAATGCCCTACCATCATGTATATTAAGCCCCCACAGGTCCCGAATTGGGCTGGCCTATTTTTTAAACTGTGGGGGCTTATAGATATGATGATGAAGTCATCTGGAACATTCTAATTAGAATATGAACCAGGATGTGTATAAGCAGCCTTTGGATTTGTGAATCATGTTTGCATGCCAACCAGTGCTAACCTTGTGTGGCACCCCAATGACATGCTTGAAAGGATCTCAAGGCACCCCAGGGTGCCTTGGCACCCTGGTTCAGAACCACTGGGTTAACGTGCAATTTTTCAGAAAAGCCTAATAGGATCAAAAGTGTTCCGCTTTCATTGCCTTTTCAGAATTCCATTCCTAATAGCCAGTTAGACATTCCATTCCAATTAGATATTCCATTTTCTTCCATTACAACTTTCAACAAAGATGTCCTGTCAGGTTGACTTCTTTCGTTCACGTAGTTAAATTATTGTGGCATTCAAGAAGTGGTGGCCATTTTAAGTTTTGTTCTCCTCTTTATCTTCCATATAAGCCCTTTAGCTCAGCTGTAGCAAAACAAATGATTCAAATTCCTCTTGGCTAAAACTCTTCTTCCCTCTGGCAGAAAGAAAAGAGACTTTCACATTTGAAACAGCACTACAAAACAACTGTACTGCAAAATAAGCCCTCTTAGATTCCTCCCAGTAAATTCACTTTGGCCCTATCTCCATCATTTGTTTAGTAACTTAACTATTTATTTAATTTTGATGCATCTGATCAGTTTCTTTTACTATTCTATTTATGGCACTTTTGACCTGAGGGGGAAAAACCTGCAGATACATCTTAACAGAATCTCATTCAGATTCAGGACAGGTGTCAAGCTAGAAGGACACGTTCAGTGGTATCACAAACCCATGGTGTACTTCAGGGGGCACTAGATAAGGAACAGAATAGACAATAGATAAGGGAGTACTGTAGTAAGGGAGTGTCACTTATCTGGCATTTTAGTGAGTGAAAAGTGTATGTACTTGACACACCAATAAGAGGCAGGAATTGAGTCAAGAAAGGCAACCTGCATGAGCCTCTCATTGATAAGAAATGATGTGGCAGACGAGCAGAATTGCAAAGAACATAACTTTACTGCTCCCGCAAAGAGGCCAACAGTATATGCTGAGGCTCCGATGCTTGTGTAGTAGCAGTGTGGCTCAGCTTGCATTGCTGGACACGCTAGGTCCATCAGTGACCTTGACCCCTTTCTCTGGGTCCACTCATCATATTACTATCTGAGGTAAACCAGGCCCCCTTAGATCATTCACCAAATCCCTGTTATTTCTTTTCATTTCACACACTCCCCTTCTTCCTTTTCTGTGCATAAGCCATATTCTTTTTGCACATTTGGTGCATATTGAGTGTAATTCCACTGATTTAAGTGAAATTAAACAGATATAAAACAGGGATGTGATCAGAATTGGGTCCCTCATAGAATGCCAGGTGAAAGCGGCCCAGGGACTTCCATGAGTTGCATCAGTTTACTCTAGGTCTGAGTTTGGTCGCAGTACTTGATGATACTAAAAACCATATAGTTGAGACATCTGTGGAATATAGGATTGGCCTGAGACCAGAATACAATTTTGTACTGTTTAGTGTATAGTTACTGCTCCTAGAATGAACAGTCACTAAAAAGGTGCTGTGAAATATAACCATTTCTGGTGATCCTAAATTACTTGGCATACTTGTGAGAGCATTATTAAAAGCATCACTGGAAAAAAACCTCTATGAAATGAAAGTACTTGTGAATACTGTTATATAGTACATAATACTATATAAATGGCCAAGAACTCCAATATTTATGGCACTTTTGAGAGAATATCTGAGTAAGAGGGGAACACACGTCTACTTCTTGCAGAAGGATAAAAAAAGCACAAGATTTGTAATATGAATTTATGCTCAGTCCCACACAAAATGGCAACAGCAATTTAAAAAAAACAAAACAAACAAACAAACAACCCCCCCCCCCAGATTTAAAATAGAGGTTGAAAAATAAGATTAATGCTCACAATTTTGAGCATTAATGTTTCCTGCAGAGAGCTGGCAGCTTTCCCTTTGGACAGCTCTGGCCAATCCATGTATAGGAAAGTTGTATATATGGCCAACAAGATTCTACTACACTGACAGCTTAAATGTTAAGTATACAAGTGGCAGCATGCTATGCATATAATCATGTATTCTGGAAATTGTTACTGTAAAATGCAAGAGCAAAAATTTGATCTTTTTAAAAAGAGATTTTCAAATTTCTGATGATTAAAATGGCTGTTAAACAAGTTCTCTTGCCAGGATCTAGCAGAAACATAAAATAGCTAGTGGCCCAAAGTAAGACTTCAGTACTGCTCCCCTTGAATGCAACAGCAAGATAATGAGAGCAATATTATTTTCTAAAAGTGCTTTTCCAGATTTTATACTTCCTTTATCCTACTGGGATATAAAAATGTCTAGCTTTGGAGATTCACACTGTATTCAAATGAAACCTTCCTGAGGTTCAGACTGAATATTCAGGTTGAGCTTGTTTTAGGCACTGGGGCCACAGTTTCAAATCAAAGGGAGTTGGGCACCTAAATAGGAAAGAGGTGCCTAAATGTCTCTGATTTAGTTCACATGTACTAAACAAAGGAGTACAGAATACATTCTAGCATCGTTCTTATTGGCTGTGTCTGCATGAGATGCTAACTGCACCGAGGAATGGCTTTTTTGTGATGACGACTGCGCAGTGGCATCATGTCACATTTCCTTTCATGCGACACTACACAGTAGTCATGGGCTGCTGCACAGTATGCGTCTCATGCATGTGTGGCCATCTTTGTGAACCTACATCTGAATCCAGGTTGTGCTCTTTCTTATCAAGGACTTCTTTGTTTCTACCAAAGCAATGGTGTACTGACTATGTTAAAATACGAAAGGGTTAAAAGGCCATCAGGTCTTGTCTGTGGGACAGCTTTTGCACTTCGGATGCAGAACCAGTTGATGCTTATCAGCTGGGGCAGATCCATCACCCTATACCAGAAACATATCCCAAAGATCAGCTGCAATTACATGGTTGCAGAGGTCTGACTAGACAGAGGTAATAGAGCCTAATAATAAGTAAAAACCTGCCAGGATGCCACAAAAAACGTTCCAATAGAAATCAATCTGCATATTTTGGTTTGCATGACCTGTACCTGGCTGTCCTTCTCCTGCTGTGTTACACTCTAATAGGCAAAGGCACAAATTCTGCTCTGTTGCATCATGCACAAACCTTCTGAAGCCAATGGTCTTCTCATGATGCAACTAAGAACAGATGCTGGCCCTGGATCTTTTTTCACAAACTTTATCATTGCAATGCAGACCATGTGATCCTGGCACATAGGCACAACCAATTCCTGGCTGTCACTAAATCACATCTTGCCAAGGATGGACTCCTCTAGTATGCAAGACCCCCAAAGTCTGTATTGTGTGGAATCACATAGGACAACCTAACAGACCTAACAGGTTGGGTCTTAGTTGTTTTTTGACTTCGCAAGTATCTTTTCAAACCTGGCTTGCCCTTACTGCTTCTTTACCACCTGAAGTTTATTCTGCTACATCTGTTTGCCATGTGGAGGATTATGACTGCCACAGAATAAGAAGGATGAGTCCAGGTGGGAAAAGAAAGAACAGGCAAACTCTTACTGGGATGAGGTGGGTAAGTTTCTGGTTTCATGAAATGTCTTTAATTTTATGAACAAAGGGACAGAATTCTCTCTACATAGCTATATAGAACAGTGGAACTCAAGCTTCTCACCCCATGGGTGAGATGAGTATCGGAGGGCTGGCCTGTGGGCCAGATCAAGCCCTGTGCATCAAGATCAGGCTCTACACTGCCTCTGCCCCACAGGGCCCAGGGCTCCTCATGGGGCTGGAAATTTGGAAGCAGGGTAGCAGTGCCACTGCTCCCCCACTGCAAAACTTTTGGATCCATGGGGAGCCCCATGCGCTAGCTGACACAGTGCTGGGGGCCAGAGCTGGCCCACAGGCTGGAAGTCAAGCACCACCTGGTATAGAATGTTTCCCAAACAATTTTCAAAGACCCTGATGGCTCTTTAAAATGCTCAGTAGTGGAACAAAGTTCCTCTTTGGCATACTAGAGGGTAGCATGTGGAAGTCTGTTTTGAAACCATTTGCACCATTCTACTGGAAGATAACAGCCCTGACTTGTGCCAGCAGAGAGAGAGGATCAGTATCAACACTGTCTTAACTGAGTACACCAGCCTGGCTTTTGTGAATGCACAAGCTTATACTCTGGGCTGAAGTGGATACCAGGCTGGTTAATAGGGCTCTACATTCCTGGGCCTCCGGCAACAGTCTTGTAAACTATCGGAAATAGGACAAGTTCCAGATTAGAACATATGACCACCGCCCAGGGGAAGCGCCTTCCTTTTTGTTCTATGATGTGTCGTTGTCACTGTGGTGGAGGCCCAGCAGTTCCTCTGCTAAGTGTATGAGACTGTTTTCCTCCAGGGCTGCTATCAGTCTCTGTAATGTGGCTCTTTTCCCCTCAGACTGGATAAACTTGAGAAGCAGCTGATATGCTTGTTCATACAGTCCCTCGCGGTCATATTCAAGGGCCAAGTTGTCAATCACAGGATCCCGAAGAGCCCGGCAGTTCTTCTGCAGAGACCGACCCACTTGCTTCCACTTCTTTGAAACGAGCTTGGCAAATTTTTGATGGTCATCCCGTGTGAGCGTTCTGTTGGCTTTAAAGGTAACAAAAAGCACTTAACAGTGGAACTCTACACTGATTGTTGCTGTGATGCAAACAAGGTTATGTTAAAGTCTACACAATATTTAGGAGAACAAGAACCTCCAAGCCAAAGGGCAAAGTCTAGATATGCACAGTGTGTTAGAACTGCATCACACAGTTCAAGTATGCCATCATTAGCTTTTGTATACCTAGTACTTCCCAACTGACACTAGCAGCTAAACTGCTGCAGTTGCTACCCAAGACAATTATGTGTTTAGGATGCCCCCATGAGGCCATTTCTGGTTATATGCTGCCTCGCACTCAAATACAACTATCTTACTGTGTGTTGGGGTTTACCTTTCTCTGGGACATCTCCTCTTTATTTTTTGCAGTCTGTCCCCAGTTCCCTTAAACTTTTTTTTCTTTAAATTTCTTTCCTCCTGCACTTTGTATCTCCTTTTTCTAAAAAACGTGTTCCTTATTGGCCCCAGAAATACTGAAACAAAGAATGTGGAGCTTCCTCTTCTTTTTTTTAAGCTCTAAAGTCTTTATCAGGCCCTGCACTACCCCCACCTGGCCCTGCCTGGCCCCTGCATGCTGGTATCAGGCCCTTAGGGCCTGGCCATCCGGCCTTGTACACTGGGCCCAGGCTTGATTAAGTTGGTCTCCAGTGCATAGCGCACAAACCCATATTTGTTATGAGACCAAGAAAACATGCTCTTCTCAGGAAAGGGCCAAAACGGCCAGAAGTGATGACCACAACTGGAAACCCTGAGCTGGGCTTGAAAGGGATCCCAGATAATTCTGTGCTCTGTGCCTGGCTTTGATCAATGATATTTCTCCCTCTTTTTTTGAAAGTACTAATGTCATTCATGGGCTGGTCTTTGCAAATAGAGACATCTTCCTTTTTTACATTAATAAACGTTCCCCTGTTCACTCATTCTAAATGTGAATTTTCTAAGCTTATTTTATAGCTGTGTGGAGCATTCTCATGTTAGAGCAGGAGTGGGCAATTATTT